TTCCAAGGAACGCAAGTTGTCCTCTCATGTCCAATGGGTGACTGCCTTCAGGAGACAGGAAGACTTTTGCATGAGTAGAGGAATCAAAGGTACAAAAGAAAGCTGACAGATGACATGTATAAAGGTTGAAGGTCATCCAGCATGTGAGAGGTTTTGGTTGGTAGATGGGTGGACCCGGGTGTGCTGGGGAATTTTTCCTCAGCTGTGTCATGATCACACAGGACTGTTTATTTTTATTACATCCCGTCCATTATCAACTTCTTACTGTCACAGAAAAAAAACCCCCCACTGATTTTCTTTTTTGTTGTTGCTGTTTCACTCATTGTCAGATAATCTGCGTATTTGCCTGTGTGGGGGTCTGCTGAACCGTGTCGAGCATGTCTGGACTGGAGCAACAATTCAAAACATAGACCCAGCAGAGCACTCATGGACACTGCAGCCCGGCACATCCTCATTTCCCAGATCCGGGCATCCTGGTCACATGGCACTCAGCCCTTATATCCTGAGACGAGGAACCCAGGGAAGGAACGTTGACTCTTAACTACCGAGGAAGAGAAATCTCTATTGAGACAACACATCAAAGAGGAAACCATGTGCAACCTATCACCTCATCTCCGGCTTTGTCTTTACACCGTTCTTTTCTTCCATCAGCTTCTCAATGGAATTTTGACAATTGAGAAGCTGGGTCAATAAGAAGCTACAATGGCTCGAGTGATAGTCTACATAAGACGGCCACACAAAGAAATATCAGTCGTTGACGTTCCTCAATGACGTTTGCCAAGGTTAAGATCTGAGTGATCACAAAACATACTGTCTGGTAGCTCTTAGCAAGCACCCAAACCCATTCCTGGAGCCCTCAGTATCCAACAGAAATTCCACAATGATCTGAGAAGAAATTACCTCATCATTGGACTGTGGTCTACACAGAACCATACATGAGCACATTTTTCACTGCAATGACGGAAGACTCAAAGAACCATCAGGAACTCCCAACATATGAACACTGGGAGATACAAATAAAAACTGGGCCAAGGAATTGATGACTCCCCATAGGTCTATGTCTAAACATCAGGTCCCTTGCTCTCTTGTAATAAGGCCTGTCTAATCTACAGCCTCAACCACATGGCCAACTTTCCCCTGATGGCATTGGTTGTTTTTTTCTGGCAAAACTGGTTAGGATCAGTAACAGCGATGGGTGCACAAAGGTTGTGACACTAACAGCATACTTTAAATTCCATGAGGAACATCAACAATCATAAAGTATGTTATATGGATGCACAGAATTCAGGATGGGGGACATGTTGTGGTTCTGATACTTTTCAAGTATTTTGGAAACGCACAAAACAAACTTTGGAATTTCCATTAATATAGCACACCGGTGATTAAGAACCAACATCTAGGACAACTCATATTCTCTGCAGTATGGTAAACAGTTTAAAATCCAAAGCTGTGGACCACATTGGGTCTGTCCAATAAACTTTTTAATCCCCCTGAACTGAGATGGGTTACCCTTAGATGGGTGAGATGTATGAGCTGTAGATTAGATTGGCCTTACTGCAAGAGGGCAAAGGTCTTTAGGCCAAGACATTGTCCTATGGAGAACTAAATTGGCGTCTGCCAAAATCTGATTAGTTAAAAGAGAACTATGGGCCAAGTGTTTTTGGTCACGGGAGGACATATACTAGCATCCTCCCGTCACCCAAAAGCTCAGTATATTGCGAGCTACAGCTCACGGTATACTGAGACCGCTGCAGCCGGGACGGATCCAGACATTACTGTTGAGATCCACCCAGTTGTGTGAGTGACAGTTGGCTCTGCCTATCTAGAGGCAGAGCCAGCTGTGCCCGCCCCCTCCCCCGTCCGTTCCTCCAGTCAGCGCTGGAGGATCGGAACGGGGGGCAATCCCTGCAGGGAGCCATGACTGACAGTCACCTCTCTCTGCAGGGAGATGATCGAGAAGTGAGCGAGCGACGTTATGTGTTCACTCACTTCCCGATCTATTGAGCCGACGTGTGACAGTTTCATTGTCACACGTCGGCTCCAACTATGAGGATAAACGCGATTTTCATTCACCTCATAGTTCTCCTTTAAGTAGCCAAGATGGAAAGAATTGCCAATACTCCTGTATTCTCTAGTCCGAAGTTCAGTGTCGCGGAATCCCGTTTGGAATATTGTACTTTAGTATCTGTTTTCATGGAAAAGTCTCTCTTTGAAGTCCACTCATTGAGATATTCATAGATGTATGGACACAACACATAACATCTCAGAGTGCTGGCTGGACATTCGATTATACGGATTTCTTATATGGAAGGATTCTGAATCTAGGACGACATTCAGATATATTATTATCACAGCTGGGGCCACGCTGTGCTCTATCTCCTGTATGGCACTATACACCAGCGGTTCTGGATGTGCATTTGAGTAGTGGGGGATAAAGGAATGATTTTTGCCCACTGTCCTGATATGAGGATATTGTAATCAGATACGTCAGAAATATTCTCTATGTATCATTTCTCTAATTCCAGCTTCCCATACTCCTATGTGGCAGCAGAACGATCCTGGTCCAGTAGAGAGTTGTGCTGGTGGCATCATGTGGTGCAGATGTTCAGGTTGCACAGCGGGGGACTATAAGGGGGAGGTTAGGCACATACCAGTCTAACAACAGAGACTGGTCACCAAGCAGCACTGGTAGTAAGGCACACAGATGCACGATACACCAACGCGCTCTCTCTCTCTCTTTATTGTGATTCCTCCCTCTGCAGAATATAGTATTGATAATAAAGTTATTGTACCTTTAGCTGATACGGTGGGCACAGCCTGGCGCCCGCAGTCAGATACAGAGGTAACATAGTAGGTAAGGTTGAATAAAGGCAAGGGTCCATCCAATTCAATCTATGTGAGTGCGTTATTGTGCGTCTATATTTGTATGGCTCTAACACTGCCCATATTTTTGTATATGAAGTGAGGTAAGAAACGCATCAAGAAGTTTCTTGAATGTATCAAAAACTCTCGGTGGAGACAACCGCCTGTGGAAGGGAGTTCCAAAATGTCACTACTCTCAGAGTTAAAAAAACCCCTACGAATTCTAAGATTGAACCCCCTTTTCCTCTAACCTCTTGTTGTGTCCCCGTGTTCTCAATACAGTTTTTTCCGAATATTGGGGTCTGCAATAAGGACTGCAATAAGGTCCCCTCTTAATCGCCTCTTTTCTAAGTCGATACGTTTAAATTTTGAAGGCGGTCCTCATAACTCAGGCCTTCCATCCCTTTCATTTTGTAGCCCTTCGCTGAACTCTCTCCAGCTCGAAGAACGTCTTCCCTGAGAGATGGCGACCGAAACCGCACCGCGTACTCAAGATGAGGCGGACCCAGTGATTTTTCTGCCTCCTTCGGGAGCACCGCACACCTCGCGCTCACTTCTGGCCTTTTACACACCTTGTTTTTGTTAAAATTCCACAGCCGCTTGCTTTAGAAGATATTTGTTCCCTATTATTAGAATTCATTTTCCATTTCAGCACATGAAGGCCGTTTCACGCCAATTAAAAAAACTGGCTGACTCCGTATTTTTCCAAAAATATGTATAAACACAAGCGTGACCGTGCACATGTTATCACCTCATTCCTCTGTAATCGGGGGGGAAGGGGAGGGGGGCGGGGTGAAAGTGAATTGCCAGGGGCCACTAATAAGAAAAGCCTCACTTCTGCGTTGTCGGAGACGTGACCCACATGGATCGGTCAACCACAGAAAAAAAGGTAACATTTTTAATTGGCGGCATTGACGTCATTTCTGGGTCTTTATCAGATATTTTCCATAAATATCCCCTACGTCACATGTGTCAAACTCAAGGCCCAGGGGCCGAATCCGGCCCACCAGGCCGTTTCCTAGACTTCTACTTTCAGATCTCGGTATTAAGTTATGACTAAAACCAGTGATAATGGCATGCAGAGGAAATTATGATAAAGATTAGATACATTTATAGAGTCTTACAGGCCCTTTGAGGGCAACCATAATGTTGATGTGGCCCACGATTAAATTGAGTTTGACACCCCTGCCCTACATGGTGCATTTAAAAGGAGAGCTCTAACCAAACTGCTAAATACAAAAGCAGCACACAGATCTATACCTGTGTGCAAAGTAAAAGCACGTACTGTCATGTCACCCCTCTACTGTGCTATATGGCTGTATAGGAGGGCGACACCAACTTACACAACCTATTCTACAAACTCTTGCTGATGACCTACCGGCCCTTTAAACCACTGGTTAACCCTATTCCATGACCAGAGGTCACTGATGCCTAGATGCGCAGGCTGAATTTAGCGGCTTCAGCATGTGTTGGCCGACCTTGACAATATCTCAATGACAAATGACAAAAGAACTGAAAGTGGACTCCGGCCTATAAAAGCATTATAAGTCCTTAGAAAACCTGTAAAAGCCCAATAGGCGCTTAAAAAGCTGAAAACTGATGTCAGCCTGGCAGTGGGAGTAGCTGGATGGGTAAGTGGGGAAGGACCTCACGTGGGTTTATAGGAGAGAGCTCTCAGTGGGTGTCAGTACACAGCAGAGAGATGGTGTTAACCCCTTCCAACCATAAACTGCATATGACCCGGACCCAGTACAAAACCCCATGCTGGGGATGTGTTCATGTACCCCAACATTAGGTTCACATGCAGATTAGGGGCAGAAGGAGTTAACATCTGCCTACTGCTCAGTACTGACACCCACCTGAGCTCCTCCCTTCTCCTGTCCATCAAACCACTCCCACTGCCTGGCTGATGTCAGCTTTCAGTTGGTGCATTGCATTTCTCAATATAAAGACAGATGTAAGGTGACTTAATGGGGGACATAAAACTTTCCAAATTGAGATAATAAATACCGACCCGTGACATCTGTAACTAATGCAGATACAGTTTGAAATCACTTGAACAATTATACTGCTCAGCGGCGATAACACATATGAGGTTAAACAGACGTATCTACAGTCAATCATGCAGATTTTCCTACCTGATGGTTCTTCAGTGCTGCTCGCTGCCGTAGTGGGAGGAGCTACAGGGATTTCTGTAGTGGAGGGGGGAAGGCAAGCGGTGCGGAAAGAAAAAAAATAGATTAATTTTTTTTTTTTTTGGTAACACATAACTGGAGCGGTTTGTTATATGGCAGCGCTCATTGTACATTGCAGGCATCATATTAGTAGAATTGACTTTGTTAGTCTATATGCCTACAGGAGCCAGCCAGGGAGCTAATGGCAGCTATATTCAGGCAGCGTTAAAGAGAACCTGTCACACACTGGAGGGAAGATTAAAAGCAAGGCGGCTGTTTCTTCTACAATGTTACATCAGCAGTTGAAAATCATCCATTTATTTAGCCCTCTGGCTCTACACCAGAAGGCTTATGTTGCCTCAGCAGGTCTGACCGCCGGAGAGAACTCATCACAACGGCCGGTGGGAGAGTCTGCGTGACACTGCGGCATGAATACGGGTCACCGACAGGTTAGTTTATCCAATAAGGTGTTACTTTATTGGTGACAGGTTCCCTTTAAAGGAAAAGCCAATCAGAGCGGGCATTTTCTTTCCTCCATATTGCTCATAACGGTGGGCAGAGAAGCTCTTTCTATCGGGATGGATGGGTTCTTATGCTCAGATGCCCTCGGACAGTATCGGAGGGGGGTGTAACCAACAGGCCAGGCCTTGTGTTGCCCCATTAAGGGTATTAGATACCCTGGAGAGGAAAGAGAAGCCCCATGAGGAAACAGAGATGATCAAAATTTAGTTTAGAATTGAAGAGACACAGCAATATATTTCAAGTCCACGTCTACTCCAATGGCATGTTTTTTTGTTAAAAGCCAACACGTTTTGGGGGCTATAGCTTCATCAGGGCTAGGGAATATGAAGCAAGCTGCTGCCTGATGCTGTGCAACACAAAGCATTTTCGTGATCCTCATCCATATATTGACTACTGAGTCCACGTACGTGATGCATTGTTTCATATTCTTCAGCCTTGATGAAGAAGATGGAGTTACAGCCTCTGAAGCGCATTGATTTTTTTTAAACAGACGGTCATTAGAATAAACAGTTCTTTGGACTTGAATGTCACAGTGTGTTGCTTCAATTCTAGATTTTAATTGGCAACTTAGTTGACTTCTGGGGGACAGGAGGGAAAATTCCACCAATCAGCAACAAAACCTGACCCCCCCCCCTTTCAATCAGTGTCTGTGGACACATTTGAACAGGACTCCTTCCTAGAGTGCCCTGGACCCTGAGGACAACTTGTGTTCACTATAGGCACCTCAAACTTTGCCTTAGCTCAACTGCTATGGTGCAGCAGGAAGCTGTGCAAACTCTTGAGCACACTGGGGGCTGAGCTGCTGCCTCGGAGCTCTGGAGTTTACCCCGCTATGTCAAGCAGGAGGGGTGTCAGGTGGGTAATAGGGCAATTTTAATCTCCTTTTATGGAGAAATCTAGTTACTGGCAGTGACCTCTGTAGGCACACAGAAGAATTTGTAATAGCTTAGTCATGATAATAAAATTGATCAGAATAAAGAATACCTAAAAAGATGGAACCAATGACTCCCTATGGAGGAAACTACACAGGTAGCACGGTGTATCAATTGGAGGATTGTGTTGTGATGCAAGATTGGTTGCTACTATAGGTCACTTCAGGAGCGTTCTCCTATGGGCAGCCATTGGTTCCATCTGCTTAGTGGTCAGCAATTAACAATTGATTACTAGTGATATTGGTAGCTCAGCTGAACATCTTCCTAGCCGATTGGGGTGACTGCCAGCAGGAAGGTAAAAAATAATCCTTTTGGTGGTCATTCACACAGTGATTTGTGATCCATCTGGGTACAAGCAAATTATTTTTAGTGCATCGGATCAAATTGGATTGGAGTGTGGAATGATCATATTGAAATGTGGTTGGCCACCACGGGGCAGAATGCTTCCTACTGGATTTGATGGCGTGGGAGACGCATTGGAGCTCAGGAGGTGGGAGGAGTCATTCCTTAGGCCACTTTATCCCAAACCAGTCTTCGTGGACCAGTGACAGTTCATATATTCCAGATTCTCTGGAAATCTAGAAAATTAAACCTGTCCTTGTGGACTGGTGTTAGGAAAAGCTGAATGGGCAATTGCTGATAACGTTCATTCAGAGTGGAGATCCTCTCGTCCTACATTGACTGGCCACCATCTATTGCCTGGTACGGGTTATGGCCCGGTCAGTGAATCCCATGCCAGGCTCTCGTCCTCTATATATTAACTCACAATCACATCACACATTGTTAGTAGGAGACATTTGGTAGAGAACAATGCCATTCACTTAGAGAGGGTTCATAGCTCTTCCCTGGATGAGTCAATGACCCAAGGATGTGGCCAAGCTACTCAGAGGTTCTGCCTAAAGATTCAGTAGGCTGATATTTAAAGATAAGTCAGTTGATGAGCCCATTGACCAAAATGGCTGCCTCTGCAATGTTTGTAATAGGAAATGTAATTAGACTTCTGTTTTCTTAGCTGTTTTGACTCATAACTAGCTCAACTGATTCCAAATTGTTGCATCACCTCTTGACTGTTAAAGCGGCGGCCACGGTCCTTCCACCTGGCAGCCATCTTTTTGAGTTTACCAAAAGTTCAAGAGAATGCCAAAGAAAAAGTAGGAGCCAGTGACATCGTATTGCTTCTCGGTGATGTCACAGGCTTGTTGATAGGCAACAGTCTATATATCCATGAACTGTAGTTCAACACAATGGAAAGCTCACAGGCCTCATGTATAAGGAAGAATTCCTACTTCTAGCACTGGAAAATGAAGAGAAGGATCTGGGTGGCCACTGTGGCTGATGGCACCTATTCTGACTTATATCTGAAGCCCATTGGTTGTCACCTCAAGACCCTTTGACAACATTCCGGACACTCTTTAAGGTCTAGAGTAAATGGCATTGCTGGTTAGTAGTTTGTACGACATATAAAGTTGACGAGACATACTTATGCAGGGGGCAATGGGCGAGCGGCTTTGTTGGTAGCCCTTGGCACATCGATTGCACGTTATGCCAGTCACGCCATCTTTGCAGGGACACTGGCCCGTGGTCTGATTACAGGTTTTGCCGGCCGCACCAACAGGATGGCAGTCGCAGGCTGCAGGGTGGAACAGACGAGAAGGGTTTGGAAAAAACAGCACAAGGTCACAAGCAAAACACAAGTACCACTTTACATGGTGACGCGGAGGTCCGCCAGGGAGGGAACAGCCAAGGGGGGGGGAGGGAGCAGGGGGAATCTTTCATGCAAGCTGTCTACTGAAGCTGGTACAAGCTATAAATTTACTGCATAAATCAAATCACAACAGACATACTGACATTAAAAATTCCTCATGTGCTAATAGACAGGTGCACTTTAATAAAGGTCATTTTGTGAGGCAGGTCATCATTTAGTAGGTTTATGGGTGCACTCGGATGCAGCATTCAAGTTACTGGCACTGAATCCTGGTGCACCTCGGAAATACCCTCCCTACTAAATGGTGGCCTTCACCCTGACAGAAACATTGGTCAGTTCACACAATAATCATAAAAACACATTATAGAATTAACATCATTTCTTAACATGTCTAAAGGCAATGGCTGCTCAGTCTGTGTACCTCAAAGTGATCAATCACATTCTAAATTTCACTCTCCCATAATGCACAGCGAGAAGTCAAGTATCGGATTGGTTGCTATGGCTCTATTGTATAAAACGGCCCCTTTCATTGAATCTTTAGTTCTATCCTATGTGGGGATAGCAGACGCTCTTCTTACTCCCACCCATTTCACCTACAAGATATTAAATTAAACCTTTATTCCTCTATTTCCAGCTTTTTTTACATTTTCTTCACACGTCCCATGTTCTCACCATCCGCGCTATTTTTGATAATGGCGGTGCAATTTTGTTCACCTTTCTATACATGTTTATATTTTGTTTTCATGAAATAGATCAAATCTTTATATGTCACTTCTCTGGTACCTAGGCGGAACTGCTTCTCCTTGCTAGATCTCTGTATGCCCAAAGGACATATAACTGACCATAAAAGAACAAAACAGAGTGCCCAGATAGTGCATGTAAAACACCTTTAAATAAAGTTATAAAATCGTACTTATAAAATGATGACTTTATAATGACATATAACCAAGAGAAACCTCTGAAGGGTAACCAGGTCACATATGAACACACTCTCACTGGGCAGCTGGGAACAAGAGAGAAGGAAGCAAAGATGGAAACCTCTTGAGTGGACAGTGCATTAGACCATGGAGGAGGGCAACCATGGCCCTCCAGCAGTGGTGAAACTATATCCAAGTCCCATGAAGAATTGCAAGGCTCTCTGACAGCCACAGGAATGACCCCCAGAGGCATTTGTAGTGTCACCACAGTTGGCGTGCCGAGGTTGCCTTTCTCCATGGTTAATTGCTCTGTCCACTCAAGAGGTTTCCATCTCTGCCTCCATCTCTCCTGTTGCTGGTTGCCTAGTGACAGTGTGTTCAGCAACTGCAAATGTGACCTGATTACCCTAGAGAGGTTTCTCTTGGTTACATGCCCTGATTTCTAATTATTTGATCAGATTGGATTGGAGTGGTGAATAATCAATTGAATGATCCTATTGATATGTGGCTGGCCACCATTAGGCAGAATAGTTCCGAAATACCTTTCCAAATTTGGGAGGCGCCATTTAAGCTTAGAGGGGAGCGGGGTAGTTCTTTAGTGTACTTTATCCAAAACAAGTCCGTGGGGACCAGTGACAGTTCCTATTTCCCAGATTCTCTGGCAGTCTAGAAAATGAAACCTGTTATTGGTCCTTGAGGACTGGAGTTAGGAAAAGCTGACTTGGCAATTGCTGATAAAACTACATCCAAGTCCCATGAGGCATTGCAAGAATGACAACCACAGACATGACTCCCAGAGGCAGAGGTATGATGGGATTTGTACTGTCACCACAGCTGGAGTGCCAAGGTAGCCTTCCTCCATGGTTTAACGTAATGTTGACTCAAGAGGATTCCATCTTTGCTTCCATCTCTCCTCTTGTCGACCTGGTTACTCTTGAGGGGTTTCTCTTGGTTGTATGCTGTGATAAAGTCTTCATTTTGTTAGGGCAATTTTTTAATATCTTTTTTTATTAAAAGGTGTTTTTCCTTCACTATCAAATCTTAGGGATGTCCCAACGCACTCCTGACCAATAGCCCACTCCAAATTGCTCTGGTGGGTGCTGTAGTGACCAGTGGACGGCACCGCATAGAACAATTAGTAGAATTAAGTCACCAGCACACTGAATTCCACCTCATTGATCTGTCTTTATTGATGGCAGATAGTCATGGTATCAGAGTGAAACCCAATCTTTTGGAACCACATTCAGGTCCTTCATCAGGCAAACAATGGGATAGACTCGTTGTATCACATTGTTTGCTGATGAAGCAACCGTATGTGGTTCCGAAATGTTGTATTTCACTCTGATACCATGACTATCTGACTTCAATAAAGACGGATCAATCAGGTGGAATTCGGTGCGATGGTGACTTCATTCTTCTCTGGAGAGCGGAGATCCAGAGAGCTCAGTCTTCTACTTCTCCTTTGCTGTCCAATCACAGGCTGGGGGATCGAAAAGACCGGTAAATGTTACTTTACTGCAGCAGAAAATGATCAGATTTTCTGCCCTGTGTAAATCTCAGGGCTGGACAGACAATTCAACCCTTTGGCAGGTATAACAGCCCCCTTATATGTATTTCATTCGCGTATTTAGCCATCTGCCTGGAGTTCAGTTTTTAAGTGCTTTGTGCTAACATACCTAGCAGTGATGATAAGAGAAAGAAAAGATTGTGAAAGCAAGAGAAGCTTTTATAGGAATATATCCAAAGATAGTGCTGGCAGGAGGATAGACAACAGAGAAACAATCAAGGAGATGTCTTGGTCAGCAATACAGGAGAGTGAAAATAATATACAATCTAAAAAATGCAATAAAAAATCCGAGACAATTACAGAGAGAGATAGAGAGATGGGAGGAAGAGCAATAAAGGGTCATAATGAAACATGAGACCAAAGGATCATCAGGTATAAATAGCTTTGAAAGACAGATGGAAAAAATATTGCACCGCCATCATCAAAAATAACGCAGATGGCGAGGACACGGGGCGTGTAAAAAAAAAAACAAAGTTGTAAAAGTTTCTAACAATAGAGGAATCAATGTCATATTCATTTCATTATCTAGTGTATGAGGTGCGTCGGTTTCTTTGGGCGGCAAGTCTTACCCCGGGAAGTATTGTTATTCAGATCTTCTGGCTTGAATAAGAAAATAACGTCTCACAAGTTTTGAGATTTTCCCATTGTGCCCTCTCGCCAACATTGGCAAATAGTTAAAAAAAAAACCACAACGGTGGCTATTTCTCGGCCCTGTGCATGGCATGGCAACCAGAATTGTCATTAATCCAGGACAGAAAATGAGAAGCTACTACAGGTGACCAAAGTGTCCCATTTGCACACAAGAGCTCAGTGTGTGGAGGAGAGCCGGCCTTTGAGGGAGCCACGGTGTGGCAGATTTGGGTGAGCTGTGCAAGGAAAGGGACTCTGATATGCTGGAACTTTCAAGAGATGGAGAGCCACCAGTTACTCTCAGCACCTTGTCAAATGGTCCTTGCACTGCTCAGCCTTGCTCCATAGCAATCAGATGTCTGCTTTCATTTTCGGAACCTAGGGTTGCCACATGGCAGGTAATTTACTGGCCTGGCTAGGGGAAAAGTGGACTGGTTGCCAATGGTATTAATAGGAATAAGTTGATGATTTTTGTTTCCAGAAATGGTGGTAACCTGAACCAGAAAAACCAAACCAAGCTATTTGGTGGCTTTAAGGTGGCATTTTAAGACCTTCAAGGAATGCTTTCCGTATAAGCTCAAATCAGAGTTTTACAGAATGTGGGAGATCTTTATTTTCAGTCACGTGACTTTAATTTTCTAATCTGATTTGCTGCAAGCTAAACTATAGAATAAAAAAATTACCTTTGCAGTGGGGCCCCCCAACATTTCAAGGGTTAAACGCATTTTAAATCTAGGGGTAGAAGAATAAGGTGTACTACTTGCCTAATTCCTCACTCTGGCACTCTCCACTGCTCTCTGACATTTCGGGTTGTGGCTCCCCCTCCTTGTCCACACGTACAATGGTTCTGCATTGTACCTGATGTCAGTACCGCTGACCGCAGCACCAAAGAGAAGAGGCTTTTGGGAGATCATTCGCACAGCACAGAGCAGAGGTAGACCACCTGGACACTCCAGCTGTGGTACAAATACAAGTCCCATGAGGCTTTGCAAAACTCTGAAAGCCACAGGTATGACCTCCAGAGGCATGATGGGAGCGCCAAGGTTGCCTACCCCAGGCGTAGAGAAAGCCTGCCAGAGCGAGGGGTAAGCTAAATATTACACCTTATTCCTCTACACCTAAACTTAACGCACCTTTAACCCTTACACTGGAGGGGCCCCCACTGCAAGGGTATGCAATTAAAAAATTACAATCACGTGGCTTGGAGAGAACCTTTTTTAAATAAGGATCCTCATCCGGTTGTGTAAGCCTCTAGTTCATTGTTTCACAAACTGTGGACCACCAACATCTGCAAGAAATGTACAGCATGGACCACCCAAAAGTGGACAATAGACCTCTGAGATTCTCTAATGCATTGGCCTGCGTGCTCCTTTGAACCCTCAAACGCTGTGCTCTGTTGCTCGGGTCTGTGGCATGTGGCAAAAAACAAATTCACGGATATTTATTTTAGGTTCTGGTTGTCATCTCAGCTGTCTATTAGGCAGCGTCTTGTGCCATTGTCTTTTGTGTTTATCTTTCAGGCGCGGCTTCAATCTTCAATATTCTTTTTTGTTGTGTTAGATGAAAGCTGGATGCGTGCGCCGTGTGATTCACTTTCAGATGGAAGCAAGCCACGGCTCTTCATATTACAGCAGCATGACCAAATTGGCTTAAAGTGGACCTGTCAGTTGAAGCCACATAAGGGGCAGGGCACATGTCAGCATAATTAAATCACAGTATAATTCTGAATAAAAGAAAAGATACTCTTTCACACCGTGAGTGAAGCATTGCTGGTCCTGACCCCCCACATGTAACCTAAAACCTATAACAAC